CGGCAACGAATTCAAACTGAGACGACCAGCACTTCATAACAGCATTACTAATGTCTTCAATGCCTTTAACGCCTAAAATTGTGGTCATTTGTCCGGCGGATGACATCTCTTCCGAGTCTTCGCTTAAAGCCGACGAACGGACGGCAAAACGAATTGATTCAAAGTTTTCTCCGAAAATTGTTAACAAATTTGTCTCAATTTCTTCTCTTATAAGTTGCGGTAATTCTTGTTTTGCAAACTTTTCACTCACTCCTTGGCAACACTTTTGCAGTAATTCTCTTCTTTCAGACCTTTAAAACATAAATCATTTGTAACACAATATAATTGCTTTATCATTGTAGCTATACTGACCATGCTATTTTCTCTATCTTTTCAATTTCATTTTGTAAATCATCGGAATTGTTGAAAAGATAATTGTATGCGTTTGTAGTAACAATCACTCCGTTTGGGACCACAAACTGTGTCTCACAATTGCCGGACAATTGCATGAGAGATGCCAATGAAGCGCCTTTGCCTCCACTCACACTGACATCCACTGCCTTTGGATCAGTTATGGATAAAATTAATTCTGGTGTTTGAGGCACTGGTAATTTCTGTTGAACCNCAGTTATGGATAAAATTAATTCTGGTGTTTGAGGCACTGGTAATTTCTGTTGAACCGGGTTAATTATATCTTCACCATTAAATTCTTCAAACACAACAACACATTTGCCTATTTGTCCGTTTAATTTGATTTCACAAATGGAAATATTGCCTTGCTGCTCATATGACTTATCAATTTCAATCTCAAATTCTCGGTTTTGTTCCTTTATTTCTAACTTGAATTTAGTGAGCGATGAACCAATCGCTTCGAGTTCATTGAATGTACAACTGATGTCTGATACAGAATAAACTGTGCCTACTCCTAAACTTACATAGCCATATCTAAACCTAAATTTAAGTAAAAAACTAATGTTAACATAACAATAAGAGTTAATATGAATTATAGGCTATGATAACTAAATGAATACTAAATATAATTAATTTTAAATAAAATACTGACCGATAATTATGTAGAGATCGTACGGCGCCGACATGAAAAGCAAAGCTCTTACACGAGAAGCCATAAATTCTGACCGCCTTTCGGTTGTCC